GTTGTTGTTGAAATCTTAAATTCTACACATTTAATGTAAAGAGTCGAAAGCATCTCTTGTGAAAATATGAATAAATTCGGTTCAACTGTTCTACAGTTACCTTTCTTTGAATTTTTGTTCCTTGACTTTTTGATGGGAGTTTATTTTGAAAGAAGAAGATATGGAGATGCATTTTATCAGCTGCAGTGAGGTTACCGAAAACAGAGTACTACAAATGCAAGCGAGAGAGAGAGAGAGAGAGAGAGAGAGAGAGAGAGAGAGAGAGAGAGAGAGGGGGTATGAGAAAAAAAGAGAGGGATACGAGAGAAAAGGATTAGGAAAGAAAAAAGAAGCAGCTCCAAGTTGTAGTTCATGAACAGTTATGAGCATGACATTGTTGAATCAACTCATTAACAATTACGATTCTACTGTGCAAAAGAACGAAAAATGTCCCCCATTTGTGAATGGCCTAAAGACAGTTCAGTCAGTGGCATTGCCCCGCGGGGTATTTCCATCTTAGTAAACTGGTGGCCTATTATGTGATCAAAGTATTGTTAATTGATTTTTCATTTTCATTTTCATTTTGTTTACCAGGATTTATTTTGTGTATAGAATCATTTTTATGTATCTCATTGTTTGTCTTTTTTGTTTGCTAGCTGATTCTGGAATTTGTCATTAGAGGCATCTTAACGGCCATGAGTTCTGATAATCTGCTGTGGTCATATGTTGAGAAATGGGGGGGGGGGGGGGGGGTGGGTGTCCCAAGTACATTTTTAAACTTTGTATCTCTGACTCATAGATTGATGAGAAATGACTCTTCATCCTTCACGGTCGCGAGCTGCTATTGCAAATTCTGCTTTAACCAGACCAATCTCTTTGTCTTATGTAAGCTAACATCTACATCATAATGTGCCAGATCTGAAACAGGCATCGTCGATCATGGTCCTCTATACATTTCTCCACTCCGATGTCCTATCACAGAACCTATATTATGATCCTGGTGTTTTCAAGTCACTCACTTGCTCCTGATTTTAAAAACAGTTGCCCTGAGACTACCTCTGCCTTGTTTGCCTTCTATTTTTTCCTGTGTGAGAAAGATGTTCAAAGCCTTTATGACGAGTGAAATGTTGTGTGTGTTTAACTGACAGCTCTTTAAAGGTTGGAGTTTTCTAGTAGACTTGTAAAAGCACAAGATATTTTAGCTGACGATAAAGAAAGAATAAATAACAGATAGCATTTGAAAGTCCCATCGAAGCTCAATAGAAAGCTCTCTGTGCTTTAAATCTTTATTATTTTGTGTCCTTGGCAAAGACCCTTTACACGAATTTTCTCCAAAATATCCTAGAACACTCAAAACAGTCTCTGCCTCCCGGGAAGCATAACAGGTAAAGAGCTGATTAAGCAGCTTTCAAACAATAATAACTTGACAAAACGTGTTGCTGTCTTTTTACGGTACCCATTCTCACCTGTGTCAAAAGAGGAAAATTCGTGTAAAGTGCCATTCCAAAGAACACAACGTCTGGACCCTAACGGAGATCAAACCCACGACTATCGATCAGGTGATTAAGACCAAGAGCATAACCACCAGACCATAGACATCCTATTCCTATAAAAAATGTAAATGCTAACATAAAAATCTGATGACCTATTTTTTCTATCTCTTTCCAAATGACGTGTGTTTGTGTGAAATGTGTATGTGTGTCTTGTGTGTGTGCGTGTGTATTTGAGTGTGTGTGTGTGTGTGTGTGTGTGTGTGTGTGTGTGTGTGTGTGTGTGTGTGTGTGTGTGTGTGTGTTTTGTGTGTGTGTGTGTGCAATCTAAATAAAACGTAACAGGAAAGACACAAAAAGATTGAAATGTTGTCATTGAGTTTGGCAATTAAAGCCAT